CTAATGTCTTCTTCACCTATCTTTTAGTGGCTCGTCTTGTTTCGGATGTCCTGAGCCGTAATCGTGATGATCCAAACTTTTCCATATCCATTTTGACGTGCTCAATCACTTACATGTAACGAACTACTCTCATATTTCTACCTAGTCGCTGACTTCGTGAAATTTCAGGCATCGACAACATTTCAGATCAGATGTTCTGGTGACATTCAATCCCCCGATGACATTCACTCCCAAGGTGGGTGCATATATATCTGTGTAAAGCACTTCACTTAGTTTCCTGTGGTTCAGGGCAATCCAGAGCTCCTCGCTCCCGTACAGCAAGATGAAATTCGGGCTTTGACTGCACGAATGCAACAACAAATTAGTTCTCGGACGATTGACTCGCCATCTTGGGAATTCGTGAGATCCGCAAAGATGGCGACACGCATATATGCACCTCTTGGGACACGTATGAGCTTAGGAGATTATGTGCGAATCACCAGGACATTTGTCGAGGCGTTCAAAGCTTCCGATGACACTCAAAAGAGCAAACGCACTTCTGAAGATCAGTCTATCGAATTCACCAGGGAGGACATTGAGCTCAACCAACTGCGTCGTGACCTCAAGGTAACACATCTTTAACGGATGTACCAGTTTCTAAATTACTGTCTAAAGACTTATCAAGACCGGCTTGTTCAATGGGGTATCAAAGATGATCGCATTGCGCGTCCCCTCTCGTTGCGAACGATCACCATGCGGATGATTATTCGACTGACGTGGTTCATATGTCTCTTTACCATCTCTCTCCCAGGCCTGGTGCTTTGGACCCCCGTATTCATTACCACATTCATTGCCGTCCGGAATTTCAAGAGAACTGGGCCAATCTGGGATACCTTTGATGAAATTGCGCAATATAAGCTTGTGTATGGGCTTTTTTCAGGTCTATCCGTCTGGGCTGCTTGTATTATATTCACACTTCCTTCCGCCGCAATCACAACATTTCTCGTCCCTGCTATGATGTGGATGACACTGAGGTGGACGGAAGATGCGGTATCTGCTTTCCGTGCCTTTATGGCACTGGCGAGGCTGCTATGTGTGGGGAGGGAGACGCTGAACGAGATACGAATGACAAGGCGAGATCTGTATTCGCGATTGATGAACCTCGCTGTGGGGACTTTGGGATTACCGGATGATCCCGAGAAGTTTTTCGTCGAACGTGGGGGTAAGGAGAAGGGTCGTGTAAGAAGCACCTGGGACAGTGGAGCGAAGTACTTCTCTGTCAGAAGGAGGCGGAAGAGGGACTGGAATGAGACGTTGAGGCTATATGATCAGGTGGATTATCCCGAGGAGGACTGAAGAGGGGCTATACATATGAAATGGTATATCTGCACAACTGATGTTAGTTTGCATACATCCTGCTCAGACACCTTTAATTTATGAATAAGTGGGAAGGCGACTTGAATTAACATATTTACAAAATCCGTGTATGCGGTAAGTGCAAAGGTATCCAAAATATGGTACAAGTAAAACTGAAAGCGAGCCTGTGCTTGTAGAGGAAGAAGGGAACTATGCATTTGTACCATAACCTTGAACAGACGAGTATGATCTCTGACGATAACCCTGAATGGGTGTGTATGATCTATTGCCAGCAGCCCACTTATGGCCGCGGTCCGCAGCCACACCGGTTACGATGACGCCAGCCCCAACGACAAAACCTGAAACCCAAGAAACAGCGTTTAAGACGTAGCCAACACCTTTGAATAACATATTAGAGCCAACAAGATGAGAAGGCACCACAAAACTGACCAGGCTTAGCATGCTCAAAGGCCGGAAAACGGTCCTTGCGATACAGCTCAGTGACGAGGATAAACGTCACGAGTTGGAACACAGCTGCGGAATGTGATGAAGCCTCGTGATGTCATGTACTTCATGAAGACTAACCGTGCAATATGACTAGCCCCGCCACAGCTCTCCAAACCCTTCTCCTCCTAGAGTGCGTGCTCACGCCAATGAGCAAAGCAGCCAGACCCATTGCTGCAAAACCGATGCCAAGCTCGGTGAAATATTGAGCGGAGGTCCACAGAGCACAGAACAGGCGGTTTTCGTCGTCACATTTGTCTTGTACGCGGAGCGGGAACTGGCGGCATTCGTATTCGGTGTATTCTAGACGACCGTCTTTGTTGGGGCCAGGAAAGCTAATGGTTGCACGTTCGCATCGTTCCATTAACCCATAACGAACGGTGACTTGAGCGTTTGGGATTTCATATTTAGCAATGAGCCTTCAAAGATAATATGTCAGGCGGGCATTTGGTGGTTAAAACGTTCTCTGGGCGAACCAGTCCGGGAGACGTGCAGATAAAATGTTCTGGAAACCCCTGGATGAGTGTTGTTCATGAAATGGGACTTGGACGACCTACGATGACAAGAATGATGAGGACAGCGGCAAAGGTCGCTGCATATGACGTTTTCCTCATTGTAGCAGAGGTTTTGAAGGAGATTGCGAGTGAGTGAAGAAATATTCCTGATGCGCTCCACAGGGTGGTTATGTCTTGTTATGCCTTTTATTGTTAATATTATGTAACGACCATTTCCGGAGTATGGAGCGATGCGATATCTTCAACCATTCGCGCAAATATCTCAAGGGTGGGCCTGAAGCTCCGACAAGAGAGACAGCCACGGAAGGAAGCGCGCACGCTACATCTTCGTTTCCTATGCAGCATCATGATGTTGTAGTAGCGAGCCAAGATACGGGGACATGTATTCATAGAATTGATTGGTGACGTCGATGGTCGTCTATCATAGTGTCCTCATGCTTCTTCAAGTTCGCACATTAACGCTACAACATGTTCCACCCTGACCACACCCTTGAGGTTTCGCTACATCAATCTTTGCTCGACGTATCGCGCTTGAATGCGGACTATCAACGGCCTGAGTCGCAGGGGCCCGAGCGCCCTGAGCGAGGCACGCGTTACTGACGATTAGTGTTATAGGCAAAAGTCTGCCATTCCGCCAACTGGTTGGGCAGAACCACCGGTAGATGCGGCAGAATGTCAAATGGGGATCAGGGTCAAGGAACTTCTAATAACCTTCCAAGCTCTTAAGCACCTTATACGGCCACACATAACCTTTCTCAATGCATTCGTAGATAGCAATTTGCTATTACGCCATATCTGCCGCCGGACCGCCTTAGATACAGAATATCAACGATGATCACGTAGATCCTGAAGTTGTATTACTCCATGAAATCGACGCGGCATTTGCGCTACCGGAGCAAGAAAAAAAACCCGTGGAAGACGTGTCAGTTGATGAATTTGAAGTTTTGGAAGGTGAAGATAGTGGATCAAGAGTTTAGCAAGTCATCTGTCGATGACGAGATCATGATAGTATCGATCACACCTCGCATGATGACGGATAGTGGGATATGGACGCCCTGGTGCTGGTGGTGATACTTACCCTAAATTATCATACATATAGTCTGTAACACCTTGCCAACTTGAGGTGGCAGAATCGCTACTGGTGCCGGTTATCCCGGCACAATTGCCCCCAAATAATTATTCTGTGTACGACTCTCTTTGGATTTCCTGCTTTAGTAGGTTCCGGACGGAGCTTCACAGTGAATACGTACCCCAGAGACCCCCGCTTGTCTTGTTGCTCCCGTCTTCTTGATACATCGATGGTGACAACTGGTTAACGTCCTTGTCGATTAGTGGTTAAATCATCGCATTGTGGCCACTCCAATCTGCGAAGCCGGAAGTTCGAATCCTCCCTGGGACAGATGTTGTTTTTGTTCTGCGTGCATTATGTACACCTCAGCTTCCCTGCGCTTAGAAAATACTGATATGAACAAGATATGAATAATTTCTCACCCCACACCATATGTGCCTGCAGATGTGCTATCGATGTTATCATAACATCGATGGCAGCTGGTTATCATCATAGTTGACGTGTGAGGCCGTTGCCATGATGCACTCAATGTCATCAGTGGTGCTGCGGAGTGTTGGATCTATCCTTGTTCGGCCCGGGTGATGAGGTGGTTAAAACGTTGATGTCGCGAGTCGAAAGCTTAACCCTTGCCTCAAGTAGCACTGGTTCCAACGAATCACGCACTAGATATTACTCGTTGTCTTAGGCTCATTGGCCGCTCACCTGAGAACGCTTGAATTCGTACACATTATCCACCGACACAGAAACCACATCAACACCGACTATCTAAGCGCATCGCGCACAATCAATTCGAGGGGGGCCTAATAGGAATGAACCTCCAGTATGACACCTCGCCTGCGCCATCCTGCGTGAGTTGGACCTAATTAAAAGGCAAAATAAGATATTATTCAACAGCCCGAAATGAAGTGTCGTACCTCTGCTCCATCATCACCATTAGGCAAGTACATCAACAAGCCCGAAGCAGTGTCCTGGATGCTGGGGGGAAGAGCCAGTTTACTTCCTAAAGATGCGTGATATATGCCATACTCACATCCACCTGCCAATATCGCGGTACGATACACCCCACCCATAGGGTATTGTAAACCACTTTCTCAGACTTTCGCAAAGTTAGTATTCAACTTCAAAACAAGGGGGAAGTGAAGACATCAGCACCGACGTATCTGGAGCCGGACTGGATAGTTATCTTGCTGTAGTCGCTTACGCTGGTGGCTTTGATTTCCTACTGCAAAGACCATGAGAATTGAACGGTATATCTGTTCAAGAACTTACCTCGATGCGTGGCTCAGCCGAATCTTCGTGACGACCGACGACGATGATATCATGAAAACGAAGCCCTATCTTTTGCTTGGGATAGGCGACATTCTGGACGCGGTATGCTCCATCCCATGGAACTACAAAACTCATGATAGTGATTTGAAGTGAAAGGCTTTCGAGAACGATGAGGATGCACTCTGTGATGATAATCTAAGACCTTTTATACTGCACTTTTCCCGGGTTCTGGTGGACGTGCAGGCGAGTTAGCTGCCATCCATTCCTGAAGGGGTATCAGATGACCTGATAGCTTGTATGGAACAGTGCATACTTGCGAAAGTCAAGCGAATAGTACCCCAAGGATGAAGTGCTTCCGTTACACTTGCTTCTGGATGTGTAAGAACTTTTTGAAATTACCCTGGAATTACTTGAAAGCCCCAACTTCCAGTCAGTTGAGCCGACAGCTTGCATGGAACATTGGATAGTTGCGTAAATCACGCGAATAGCACGGTCCCGGAGCACCTGATTATCCGTCAATATCATCAGTGCTCGCTATTGAGAGCAACGAAAGGTGAGCGTGAAACTGTCCATTGGCAGCACGACCCACTGGATTCATTCGTCGTGAGGAACTTCATATCATGGTAACCGAAACCTGCCGATCAGCGGTTTCAGGAAACTACGAGTTTCGTGGGCCTGATTGTATCACCTGTCAACCAAATCGGAGGTAAGTGAACAATTGAATCAGTACAATGAATGTTGCTTTTCGGATATCCAATGGCTGCAAAGGTGCAACTTGAAATTATGACTACCAATATTTGACAGGAACATGTATGGAGAAGTAGGCACTATGTACGAGGTGGAACTGCAAGGTACAAGAAGAAGAAAAACCAGGATGCAGTGGAAATCACTGAAGAAATAATACAAAGGCGCCAGGTAGTGGGCAGAGGCAACAAAGATTGACGGGAAGAGACAATGAGTGCAAAGGGGATCTGACGCTGGATCTTGACGCGGACGTGCCGCTGGGTCGTGATGCGCTGTTCCGAAAACATCAAGTGGTGGCGACGGGATAGCTAGACTGCAGGTTGAAGGAGCGGATGCGGAATTGGTGTCAAAGGTCATATATCATAGGTAGGATGCAGAGAGATGGTGGTGTTCATGGGCACTAGGATTGGGAAAAAAGGCAGAGGTGTGTGCAAAGAGCTCGATGAGTAGGACAACGAAGACGTGACAATGAACCTTAGTAGGTTCGTACCTTTCTCAGATACAGTTTTCGGGGTCCAACCTTTACAGTCGTGGCTAATAATAGGGGAGGTGGTTCGCTGCACCTTTGCAGCCATTGGAAATCTGATTCGAGAAACAATGTTTGTTATATTGATTCAACTGTTACTTATCTCATTCGGTTGACAGGTGGTATGATCAGGTCCACGAGGCCCGTAGTAAGCAGCCGTAAGTCAGGTTTCTTCAATCTGTTCCCAGCTTCGTAAATCTGCTAACTGGCAGGGTTTGGCTACTATGATACTCAGTGCATACAAAGTTTCTTACGACGAATGAATCCAGCGGGTCGTGCTGCCAATGGACAGTTTTGCGCTCACCCGTCTTTGCTCTCATAGCGAGCATGAATGATGTTAGGGGTTTGAAGGCCGGTGCTATTCGCGCGATTTACGCAACGATCCAATGTTCCATGCAAGCTGTCGGCTCAACTGACTGGAAGTTGGAACTTTCAAGTAATTCCAGGGTAATTTCAAAAAGTTCTTACACATCCAGAAGCAAGTGTAATGGAAGCACATCATCCTGGGGTGCTATTTGCTTGACTTTCGCAAGTATGCACTGTTCCATGCAAGCTATCAGATCACCTGATACCCCTTCAGGAATGGATGGCAGCCAACTCGCCTGCACGTCGACCAGAACTCGGGCAAAATTCCACGCATCGAGGTAAGTTTTTAAACAGATATCTCGTTGCACTACCGTTCAGTTCTCATGGCGTTTGCAGTGGGAAATCAAAGTCACCAGCATAGGCGACTACAGCAAGATAATTATCTAGTCCGACTCCGAATACATCGGTGCTGACGTTAGTTTCACTTCCCTTTCTCTTCAGCATCTAGGACCCTGTTTCAGGCTTGTTGATGAACTTGCCCAATGGTGATGATGGAACAGAGGTACGACACTTTATTTTACGCTGTTGAATAATGTCTGACTTTATCTCTTAATTCGGTCCAACTCGCGCAGGATGGCGCGGGCGGTGTGTCACACTGTAGGTTCATTCCTATCAGGCCCCCCTCAAATTGATTGGGTGCGATGCTCTGAGTGACCTAGTGTTGTTGTAGTTTCTGTGTTGGTTCAGGTTAACGTGTACATCACGGTTAGTGGTGGAATTCAAGCGCTCTCAAGTGAGCGGACAATAAAAGGCAACGAGTAATAGTGAGTGATTTGTTGGGACCACTGCTACTTGAGGCAAGGGTCAAGCTTTCAAGTACGTTCAGGTCGCGATTGACTCGCGACATCAACGGTTTATCCACCTCAACACCCGAGCCGAATAAAGACATATCCAACCGCTTCACAGTACTACTGGCATGAGCACATCACAACAGCCTCACACGTCAACCATGATAATAACAAGCTACCATTGATGTCATCATTTGCAAGCATTGGATGTGGGGTGAAATAGCTAAAAATGTGATATATTACCTGTTGTACTCATCCACTTTCCAGATTTATATCCTGGCAGTTGCATATCCATAGACGTTAACCTGCAGGCATCGCCGATCGAGGACGTTTTGCGAAACGGGGGAGCAGCGCGATATCATAATGTCACATTTTGGTCCTGCTAAACAGAAGTAAACACGATGCGAAATCACTCGGTTTGTCCAAGTCATTATGCAAAGTGCTACAAGTAACATGTTTTCATGTCGACACACCAGAGCTCTCAGAGCATCCTTTCGACATGGCCCTTTGCAAAACTTGTTTTGAGGCAGCGACCTAAGCCGGATCCGACCACATAAAATATTCAGACAACGCCACATCAAGTGCATCAGACTATCGGTACCCCTTGAACGACACGAGGATAAGTAAGAGCAATGAGCTGCAAGGCTGGTCAGGCAAAAATGTGCTGCGACTTCGAAGCTCTCACCCTAAATAGGTCAGGTGCGCGTGCAGCTAATACTTGTGGATCTTCTCCGAGACCTACGAAGCTAGGTTTCGTGAAAATCGGTCAGTATCCACATACACTGAGGTTTGCACATACATAGTAGACACACCAGCCTCGATGGCAGTTGACATTGTCATCGCTGCAGAATATTAATAATCATGCAGAACTATCGAGGCGAACAACAAGAAGCACGCACAGCATTGTAGTCCGATGAGGAATGCAAACAAGACAACTGGCGCTGTGTACTGTCCATCGACGTTATATGCAGGGTGCGTCACTGTGCAGTAAAAATGGTACCGATTCCTTAAGCACATTAATTCAATACGCACAGCGCAGGTAGAGATACCCGAAGAGTGAGCATAGAAGCCCAATGGCATACGCTCCCCACATCAAAGCTGCCGAACATCATCAGAAGACGTCGGCATTCCCAACTGTTGACTCACTCATGCCAACCAATGAATCGTTGACAAGCGCATCAATCCCTAAAATATTGGGCATTATGAGAATGCTTGAGGGAAAAAAACAGCGACGGGACGTACCACGATCCATGAACATAGTCCAAGTGTCTTTTGCTGCTTTGATATAAGGCTTTCCATAGAGCGCTAATAACATCAAGTTACCGGTAAGTACAACCGAACCAAATGAGGTAACTCACCAATTTCGATGTAGGCATATCTATTGAAGTACCTTACCAGTCCTTCGATGCATCCAACGAAGAACTCTGCGCAGCAAGCAAGACACGCCTCTACGACTGATCAGAGGCTACTATTTAACGTTCAAGTAGGGAAAATTCAGATTGATACTCACAACTCCCTTGCGCATTTGCATTGTCTTTCGCAGCGTTCAGGATAAGGCGGACAACTTCTAGAATAGTGACAATCAGAGATCCAAATGCTATTGACCCAAGAGAGAGCGTCGAAGCACGTCCGAAAGCGCCGAGGTTTGGATGCTTCGGCTGAAATCAACGTATAAGCATAATTGAGGAGGCATAGAGCAGAACGCTACCATCTGTCCTTGTTCTCGAGGCCCGAAGTAATACCAACCTATGATGTGCATATAAGATAACGGAATCAACCGAGTCATCCAATTATGCTCACTTCCGTACGCTCCACCAGCAAGAGTGGCTAAGGCGACGTTACCAATGACTTGAGATGTCCAGAGGTACGAGAATACTGCATAGAATATTAGGCCTGCCACAGTGCTCCCAGAACAAGATGTTCCGTTGCCACAACCTGTGTGGTCGTTCAAAGTTAATTAAATTGACTAGTAATGGAAATTTACTTGGATTTCCAGGTGTCCATTTCGTATATCTATAAATGGGTTAGAGAAGCCGAAAGTTGCGCAGCAAACTGAAACACTTACATCGCAATCAGTGTATAAGAAAACCACCTACAATTAATAATATTTGAAAAGACTTCTTTGAACGTGGCAACGGCAGCTTACACACTTAGAGCAGCTTGCGAGATCAAGGCGATGAAGGCAACAACGTAGACACTCTTGTGATGTTTGGAGACATCCATTACTACTTGCAGGAGAAGGGACGCTAGTGGAATGCGGGACCTAAGGCCCAAATAGGCAATGATCGAGAACAAGGCAATGATAGTGAATATGATGGCACCAGCTGCAGCTTCGTCGTCAAAAAGAGGTGGTCGATGTTCGTATACTCACAATAGTAACCAGTAGTCCAATAATAAATGCAAATGGCACTAGAATGACGATCAGCATAACACTTTATCTGAGGCGTTAGAGCGGCTTACATGTTAAGCATTATAGACAGCACGAGAGTCATGTGCATCAAGGCCCGTGTAAAGATGCGTGCGAGTATCAGGTAGGCCATAGACAGGACAAGAGCTACTGCAGTGACAAATAGCAGAAGATAGGCAGTGTGCCTAACGCAGTCAACATCAATTAAATATACCGATAAATGTCTACAAACAATACACCGATTGAGGGTCACCTCCGAGCAACCTGAGAGCCATTGCCTACACCACCTCCGAGCCCATTATTCGACACGTATCCTGAGAGGGCAATTATTGAAAGCGCGACAAACCCTGCAAACTACCGCGGAGTTAGAAGGAGTTCACCAAGAAATATATAACGTAGACTGACCTGCAGAATGAAAAGGATCAGAAAGAAAATGTCGTTGACCCGTTTCTTTGGCTGAAACCGACCGTCTCGAAAGGAGTTTTCTGGTTTGCAGATGATTGTGGGTCTGGGTACTGCGGTTGAACGACTGGTTGCACATATGGCCGAGAGTGTCCAGGCGTCGGCTCCCCACCAAGAGCGTAGAATGGCGGATTCCCCTGTCTATGTTGCACTCCCCACTGATCCTTGTTCCAAGCAGCCATTTCTGAGACAATGAGAAAGCGAATAAGTTGCGAGAGGTAACTTCTCGTACATGCAGACCCCTCGAGGCA